GCCAGTATTAGTATTAAAAATGTTTATTGATGTATTGACAACAAATCAAAACTAAAATCACTTGAATCAAACCAGTAGCTAGTTTTTTTTTATTGATGTTTTTGTAGTTCGATTGGGATTTTTTTACCAAAACCGAAAATGTTGAATATCTCAGAAACTAGCCACTTTCGGACCAGAACCTCAGGTAGCCCTTTTGTAGGAAATTAGTGGTATTATTACCTCACGAGAGGAATACGTCGAGTCACAAGACTGTATAACCACGATTTAGTAACTACTGTGAATTTGAAAATCGATTATCCAACTTTACTATGAAGTTGAACATAGAGCGACAAAACTACCAGACTGCATGAAAATCTGAATGAAACTGTATTTTTAAGTTTAATATAAAATAGCTATTATTGACTTATGTATCGGGTAAAACAATGAATAGAGGAAGAAGAGGGATAAATAGACATTACACTTTTTTCCTAGTGTCTATTCATTCTGCTTTACTGTTCTTAGTCAGCTTAAAGTGCGAAAGTCTTGAATACACGCAGAATACACATTACATGTAGGTACACTGTTTTCTGTTTTCAGTCATATAGTCGTGGTGGCCCGAGGTTTAAGACGCCCGCTTCTCGTGCATGAGGGTACGGGTTCGAAATCTACCATCGGCAAGTACCAATGTGACTTTTTCCGAGTTATATGTACTTTCTAAGATTATCTAGACACCACTGACAAACAATGAAGAAAAACATCGTGAGGCAACCTGAGCTTATAATTTCTAATTATAAGTTTGTAATTGCCAACCCGCATTGAGCAAGCGTGGTGATTGATGCTCAAACCGTGTGAGAAGAGGCTTTGCTCAGCAGTGGGCATTTATAGGCTGTTGATAATGACACTGTTTTTTAATGCACTTAGGAGTCATTACAGGGGAAAATCCTATTTTCCCACAAATGTATAGGTAAGTACATAACAAAAAAATAATTTCGAAAGCAACCTTCACAACCTAGGAAGTGAAAGAGTTTTTAAGCTCAGCAGGCACACACGCGACGACTATCCTTACTAATATTATAAATCGGAAAGTGAGTTTGTTTGTTTGTTTGTTCCGCTTTCACGCCGTAACTACTAAACTAGAAGTCCGGATTAAATAATAGGGTATTTTTTATCCCGAAAATTTGATATTTCCGAGGGAAAACAAAAGTATTGGTATAGATGGCGCTGTATGTATTGGTATATGTCACATAGGCTAGCGAGCGAAGCCGCGGGTAAAAGCTAGTACGAATATAAAAACAGTAAATTAAAACTAGCACTTACCGGTAGGTGGTATGTTTATGCATAATGCTCTCGACAACTTGAAGTATGTGCGTCCAACTTGATAGCAGCAGATAGGCACAGCGTCACTCACATCAATCAACAGATCTGTCATTTTGTTCAGGCAATTACAGGTTGAAATACATATTTTTAAAATCATGCGTTAATGTAAAATTCGTCGATAAAATCTACAAGTCGCGGGTTCGATTCCCATACGAATGAATGGGGATGATGACAGGGTATGAAAATTAAAAATATAATTAGTCCGTAAGTTAGGTAATGAAAAAATATTAGACACGTATTTTTTTATTTTGTCGTATAATAAAACAATACTTAGATAAAACGAATCAAAGTTTAGGAGTGGGGGCTAAAACGTCATTCCTTAGTATAAAATGTACTGAGAAGTGACGTCACGCGACATTTCAAATCAATATATCTTCGAAACTATTCGTTTCTGTGAGAAAATAAAAAATACGTGTCTAATGTTTTTAAATAATCTATCAGACGGACATTAAAATAAAAATTAGTCGTCTACCCCATTCTTTCTCTGACACACAAATTGTTTTTCTCGGTATGGTTATGATGTATGTGCATGAAGCATATACACAGTGTGTGTGCATGTGAATTAAAAAAAAAAACACAAGAGAAAATCCTAGTTGGGGTGACGAGTTTCTAAAAAAATCCTGAAACTAGTGAAATTAGATATTAACATCCTATGGATAATGATGTAGGCACAAACTGCTTGAAACATGAATATCTTATACTATTATATAAAGCGGAAGAGTTTGTTTTTTTGTTTGTTTGTTTGTTTGAACGCGCTAATCTCCGTAACTACAAGTCTGATTTGAATAATTCTTTTTGTGTTGGATAGCGCATTTATCGAGGATGGCTAAAGGCTATAAAACATCACGCTACGATCAATAGGAGCTCAGCAGAGCGTGTGAAACCGCGCGGTAGTAGCTAGTTTGATAAACTACAAATTCTTATCCATTTGCACTATGGGAGAGCAAAGTGAGTGGAAATCACTGGATGGGGCTTATGTTCAGCAGTGGACATTTAGAGGTTGATATGAAGATGTTAAAAATATAAGCATGATAATAATACTTAATTAAAGAACTATCGAGTTATACCGATTGTAAGACAATCCTGAACATAAAACTGCTACTGTTTAGTATAAAACTAGTATTTTTTTATGAAAAGGATACGTGCTGTGCCTTCAGTCCTGCATGTCATGTACACACAGGCAGCCTGTGTGTGGCTGGACGGCCTTCCAATAGTCAAGTGTCGAGACAGAGCCATCTTGTAGAAGTTGCATGCAATATCTATGCATTGTTGGTTTAGTCGTAACTGTTGACAAAGGGCCGTGATGCCTTCTCTAGCTTTTCGTAGTGTCACTTCTCTGGATTCTTGTCCAATACCAGCATTGAAGGCTGTGAAGTTAAATAAATGTTGTTTACTAGTAACTAATTAACAGACAAACTGTAATGACAGTCAGACATGAAGAAATGTATTGAATTTAGTATGAATTGATTCTGTTTTTTAGTTAGATATTAATTTACTCTTGCAGGCAATCCTAGTTCATTGTTATATTGTAAGTCCATCAAGCTATGTGCAATTTAAAGTACTCGCTAATAATCTTAATCTTGTATTAACCATTATTACCATATGACAAGTTAAACAGTGCCATTATTATTTTACTTATTTTCCAGTTCAAAGTACCTGATAATATAGCCTCAAATGTAATATTTACCTCTGCCAAAACCTGTAGCACCTCCTTTAGTTTCAGCAGACACAAATTGTCCGATGGTGGAAGCCCCGCCATGGGCGTTTTCTTGGAACTCGATTTCAGCAACAATAATATTATCTTCCAGCACAGATCCACAGTTTGTACACACCGCGTCGCCTCGGGCCGGATCTACCTCGATATCCGAGGAGCCACAGTGCTTGCATTTCTTCCCAGACATTTCCCTGTTCACAGAAACAAGAACATAAACATTGATAGCGATATAGGTTAGGTTGAGTGTTACTCACTATTTTTACGTTTTACCGTTACTCCGTCAAAGAATGCAGCTACTGAAGCTTTAGGATATCATAACCATTAGTTATATACTAGTATTCTACTACATAAATATCAACTTTACCTCTAGTTGAATGAGAAAACATAAAGCATTTTTGTCCCAATGCAGTCTACTGAGAAAACGAATAAATTACCTTGATATTTTGATTAATTACTTCACAATGACAATGACCGTTTGTTATAAAAATATGGAGCAATTACACATATCCGTTAATGTTAAAATAGAATACAATTTTACTTCAATGCTCGATTGAAAACCCCACTGAAATGATAACAATTTTGACTTCGCTTGCTTGACACCAAACATAAAAATATCCACGAGTGACAGTCAGCTGCTTCATGACTGACAGCTGATAGTTGCTATCGACAATGACATTGACGTTTGAAGAGATGTAGACACGTTACTAAAATTGATATTTTAGTTTGATACTAAACTCCAAAAATCTATATAAATAAAAATGTATTTCTGTTCGTTAGTCTCGCTAAAACTCGAGAATGACTGAACCAATTTGGCTAATTTTGGTCTTGAAATGTTCGTGGAAGTCCAGGGAAGGTACAAAAGATGAGAAAATGGTGTTTTAGGTGGTACGAAGGTTGCCAGGTCAGCTAGTATACAAATAAAAATGATTTTCTATTCGTTAGTCCCGCTAAAACTGGAAAACGGCTGATCTGATTTGGCTAACTTTGGTCTTGAAATGTTCGTGGAAATTAAGAGATGGTTTAAAATGTGTGAAAAAAATATTTAAGGCGGAACGAAGATGGTTGGGTCAGCTAGTTATTAATAATATTTTTGGTGGGCCGACGTTTGACTACTATCTCGCCTGGTGGTAAGCGATGATGCGGTCTACGATGGAGCACATCATCCTATACTATAAGCAACCTATTTACTCAGGCCTTAAAGACACCCAGATTATACATTTGAGGAAATACTGATTCTGGCAAAGAATTCCACTCCTTAAAATGAATAACGGAAACTGCTGTTTACGTATAATTATTATGATTTTAGCTTGGTGGCATGTTTTATTTACTATGATTCCAAAGTTGTTTGTATTATCCAAAATCTACTCACAAAATATTGTACTATTGATTACTGTCATTAATTCCGTATTTCAGCATAATATTATAACGGTTTGATTTGGTATATAAAGTACATAATTTATAAACAAAATGCATGTCTCTGTAGTTATTAACTCTATCTTTTCAAATATGTAGTAAAAGTAACAAGTAATGTACAGTCAGACAAGTTATTTGGTGCGCAGGTAAGAAAATGAAGACTTCATTTTAATTTCGTGTAACAATATTTACTGCTTATGTTATAAGTCAATTTTAATTTACTTTCCTGTATCCTAAATAACTTATCTGACTGTGCAATAATTACTATTATTTCAGGAAGGAGAATGAAAATTGAAGACAAATTATTACTATTGCTAAGATTTTTATATTGCTCATGAACGCTTAACGTTTTCTAATAATATATTATTTACTGTTTACCAAGGACGTTGAAAAAAATTTCAATGTTCTTGTTATTTACTAAAGAACTATAAAACTCTAAAGTATTTGAAACTCGATTTCGTTTCAAACGAATTTAAAGCGAGTTTTCTTGGTACTTGAGAACCTTGTGGAGCCAAATTTTGTGACGACATTCGAAAGAAGCTTTGCTATTGGTCGAATATCACGCTACCTAGTATTTTTAGACGATGAGATCACCCTTTAGTTTCGTTTGGGTTGAAGTATTGCGAGACGTCCAAAAAGTAATTTTGTGTATGATAATATTGGGCGCTTAAGCTGTTTCGTTACAGAACATCAGAATTTCTAAGGAGAGAAGGGCATCCCCAAACTGACGACTACGTCATCGTTTCATTCGTTTGTGTGCAAACTGCAATGATGAGTCATCATTGTTGTGTTCTCGTTGGATAATCTTTTTCAATTCGAGGCGCCTTATTTTGATTCCGTTCCTGTCATTAGTGAACTGTCACGAGAAACTTCGCAGCATTTGATAGTTACGCGGAACTACAAACTTTGTTTGAAGTTCTAGATCGCATTGATAATACGCGTTGTTTGTCGAGTAAATTACGTAAATCGTATCTCGTGTTGAAACTTGGACATAAGTGAATCTGAACTGATGACGATGAAGCTAGAAATCAGTGATAGTCAATCAAATCAATCGGACATTTCCTCCGACAGTCAGTCTTCGCAGGACTCGTCAACAAATGATTTTGTTTCGTCCGTCCCGACCTCTCGGTCCTTACTCACGGTAAGTAACTAGATGCTCATGCCTCCTACATTCAGATTTATGATAAAAGAAAAGGTTATATCGACTTTGGAAGAACTTAAAAAAGTTTTAGTAATTGGTTTCCTTTTCTAAGAACTGTTACTAAGGTAAAACAGGTTTTACTAAACTTAGTAGGAAGTCCTTTATGCTGACTGACTTCCTGGTATTTCTAGTATTTTTAGACAAATTACTTGAATTTCATTGTTTAGTTACACATGCCCTTGTTCATGAAAATGTAAGTAACTGCCCTACCTCAAAGTTAAAGTATGTGACAAGAGCAGAGTCTATCTGTATGGAATAAATTAGATATGATTTCAATGATTTCGAATGAATACATATAAAGTAATTCCAATGGATTCTAATTCCTCTGAGAGACTAGTAAACAAAATAACAAATTATTGAAATCTGGTCTACTTGAGTCTGAACTAAATTATATAAGGAAAACAAACAAGTTCTTATTGTACCTACTTTGAAAACATACAGATTATTAATGTAAGCATAGACGCTACCACATCAACCTCCTTAAATCAGTCAAATGTTCAATACATTTTCTACTATAACATAAAACAATAAAGTTTAAAATACTAAAAAATGACAGATGTAAATAAATAGCTGGGTGAACCCGCTGCCGTCTTAAGTTCACTACTGGTGACTTCTGTTGTTCAGTGCACAGTATCTGTAGATTAGTCTAGAATTCTAGGTACTGTTGATAACTTCATTTTGTTTACTCGGTTACAACTGGCTGTAGGTGCTATACACACTCATATTATTATAAATATGTATATTTAAAACACAATATAAATAATATTTAATAAACATAATTTTCAATCATAGAATACAATTAGATAATTAAAAAAAATAATTAAATAATTATTATTTAAGTAATAGCAAAAATCTTAATAAATAGGGTAATGAACTAAATGGTAAATTATAAGTCATTGGGACTTTAAGGCAAGGTAATAATGCTATTAGAAGTTTAAAATTAATTTATATTTAATGAGTAAGATAATTTATTAGAAAACAGTTATCAAAATTGGACATACAGTCATCATGAATAAAGACTAAATTGTTATTTTTCTTTAAAATTCGACATAGATAAGATTCGTACAAGTGCTTATCTCAAATCTCCTGATAATGTGGATTGGTACCTGCCAGTATTAGTCATTGTCCTTTAAAATAGTCGCTGCGTCATAGCAAATATTATACCACCTCATTTTTGATAAGGTTCTTAGAATTCCTGTGGGCCTTTTCACTAGTGATATACTTAAACATGATAATACTTATTATTTGTTCAAAATCATAATATTTAGATTATCAAACACAATAACTTGTTGTATTTTTATCGAATGAATCATATTTAACTTTTTTTATTGTAAAAAAACAGGAAAAAATTTACTAATATTTAGTTTTATCTATTTTATCTATGTTTAATAAATTGATAGGAAATAAAGATTTCTTATTATATAATGTTTTAGTCATTTGCGTGAGGTGACTAACCTCCTTGAGTGTTCCATGGGTGGCACTGATCACTTACCATAGGGATCACCCTAATGCATTAGCATTTCTATAAAAAAGATATACTTACATACACAGTAACACACCAATTACAAAATGTATTATTAAAATAACATTATCCCTAATAAAATAATACTTTAGAACTTACAGGAAAATGGTTAATAAACAATCTTAATTCTATTTATTGTCTGATAGTTGTAGCCAGTTGCCTGTATTACTATATTATCACTATTCTATGCAGGAAATTATAATATTGTTTAATTTATTGTCCTTATTTATGGGATATCTATTTATAAATATCCTTTTAGCTGTAATCTTGCTTTACATGACCGGCATGACAATATAAGCAATATTTTCAGTTACAGATGACAAACTAAATAATAACTCGACAATGACTATTATTACTTATTAACTGCTAGAAAGCTGGTATATCCAGACGCAATAGAAAATAAATTGTGTCTCGCGTAGATCTGTGATCCAGCATACTAGGGGTTAATTAAATATTCCCAGAATTTGTTTGGAAAGGTTTTTGTTAAGTAATTTCATTACAATAAAAACAACATTTACTTACTTATTGTTACAAAACTTTTTACTGATTCTGATCTTTATTACTGTACTTAGCATTATATGTATCAAACAAAAACAAATTAATTTAGAACTTAAACTTGACCTTAGTGGATAGCATAACTTCACGGCTGTCTCCCATGGACCCCCATGGGAGACAGCCGACAGGCAGAGACTATGAAACACCAATTGCTATGTTACATACCTCTTTCGCTTCATCAACAGAATAGTCATCAATCTTTTCATGCATGCTCATTGGTTAACTCGTCGAGTACCGGTTTTATAGACACAATTAAAGAACAATAGGTCGCGGTCACCAGTGACCGCTTGGTGTTTGACAGATTAAGGGTACTTTTAATTTGGCCCTTTTTATGCTTTACATTCATATGGATAGCTTGAGTGAAAACTAAGTTTTACATTGTAAACAAAAAACAAAGGTATAAGTTTTGTTATGTTATTTACAACTTCTCAGTATTTATTCATAACTTCAAAGCTACTGGTTAAAAGTATCTTCTTTCTTTTCCTTTAATTCCTTCTTGTCTCTACCTATGTTTCTAGTAAGTATACCTAAATAAAAACAAATCGAAAATAGTGAAGATAAACCAAGAACCTAAATTACAATCTATATATCTTAAACGCTTCCTGAAGGGGGCTCTAGGTGTCTTAAACTGTCAAACACCGAGCGGCCACCGGTGACCGCAACCTATTGTTCTTTAATTGTGTCTATAATGACGGTACTCAACGAGTTAAGGGCCCTGTGAATAGGTTGCTTTTGAGCAGACGTGCTCCATTGTATACTGCATTATCGCTTACCACCAGGCGACATAGTGGCCAAATGCCGCAGACCTATTTCTAATATAAAAAAAACCTCTTTAGAAAATAAAATTCCTCAATCGATACAAAAGTGTGGCGTGATTAAATGAAAATAAGACGTAATTATTGTGATTGTTATTTCTTTTGCCGTGTTTTGTTAAAGGTAAAACACGTGTAACAGAACCATGTACCAAGTTAAACAAATACTATAGAGTTATGATAACAATTTTGTTTTGAACAATGGTGTTTCCTTAATTGCGTAACATCGGCTTTAATTTTCCAATATGTAAATCTCGGCGTACCTATCCTTAATATTATAATTGCTATGGCAGATTAATATGGGAAGAGAACAATGTCTGTTTTATTTGGGAATTTCTGACTAAAATATAAATTGGTTTTACTTGTGACCTGTAGGTACTTCCATGAAATATTTTTAGTTAGAGACATGACGACCAAAATGTTTGTCTCATAGCAATACGGCCAAAACCACCTCAAATCGATAGATACGATTATCCTGAACTCGAAAATACCAATATCAGACATTTTCCGCGTAGCGTTTGATCTGACCACAAAAACACCAGACAAAAAAAATGTCTCATAGCAAAACGTCTGAAAACCTTTTTTATTAGTAAATTTTGGTTATTTGATGCGAACAAAACAATTTTCAGACGGAAATGTGAACGCATTAAATATTGAGACTGTTTTGAAAATGTTAACAAATTTTACCGATCGGTATCATGGCAATATGTCTGAAAATTGTTGGACATAATAAAATAAGTTGTCCACATGTGCAAAAAATGTATATCAGACAAAATAAGTGTAGCACCTTCTCTATCAGACAACTTTTCGATACTCAGATATTTTTTGACACAGCAGAAATGGCCTCCCACGCAGTTGCTACACTTTCGACCGTTACTACACACCTAGTCGGGTTCAGAATCATACAATCTAACGATTTTATCTGGTTTTTGCCGTATTGCTATGAGACATGGTTTTGGTCGTCATCTCTCGTACTATTTTCTTCGAAGTTGAAATTAATAAATAAATATTCTGGCAGAATCAAAGAAAATATTTTTTGAAATTGGCGCGTCGAACGGTATGAAAGGAAAGTCCGTGAGCAAAGTTGTCGTAATAACGCATAAACAAGTAAAATAACTTCATAAATGCCTAGTCATTGTGGTAATCGTAATGTACACTATAAAATTATTGTTGTTTGTTCTTCTTTCAATGTTAAAACGGTTTACAGTGTACTTAGTTTTTCAATGGACCTCCCAATACCGCGCTAAAACTGTGGAAAATTACGCCACGCGCGCATTCTGAACTATTTCCTTCCGAAATAAAAAAATGTAGTGACAAAATCGCTATAGTGGGAGCACTGCTGATTTATACGGCTGTAGCACTCCACTCCAGCCTTATTGGTGAATCAGTCACTCTGCTAAATAATCATAAGTGGTAAAAAGCAGCCTATGTAGGTACCTATAGGCTACATTTTGCCTCATAATTTCTCTTTTCTTTTGAAAGCGCAGTCGCAGGTAACAACTAGTTTCATACTTTCTGAAATCAGTGTCAATTTCCTCTTTTCCGTTCTAGAGTCTGTTTGTTCCTTTGTCGTGGTTTTGTCCTGAACCATTATGGCAACTAGCAGCAATAATACAAATATAATTATACTTTAACAATATAGTAATTTAATAGGTACAATTGTTCAAACGAGGAGGGATAAGTCTAGCCACAGGTTTGAAAATTATTTAGGTATTATTCGGATTTATAATAAATTCCTTATTTACTTAACAGTACCGAAGTAAATATGGCGTATATTTTCTAGCATTTTTAGCTACAAACTACGTTGGTACAGGATAAAAATGTCCAAAAGTCCAACCTAATAATTATAAATAGTTATAATTTAAAATTGGCTTATGGAAATACGGAATTCAGTTGAATTTTGTTAATTGTGAATGGGGTTTTCTTGCGGCTTGGTAGAGGTATATTCCATATTCCTTTAAATAATATAATTTACCAGGAAGGGTATGCACGTAACATAATACGGAAGACAACATACACATACAAATTATTATTAATCCTCAAACGCGATTGTGAGTCTTATGATAATGGTGCCAGATAAAAATTAGGGTGTACAAGTTGTTTTAACCTTTCTACCGTTGAACTTGAACGTTCTAGAAGGACTAAACACCTTACTTATTAGTTAACGTTAGTACTTACGTCTAAAACTAAAGGTTTATTACCTGACTGATTTCTTTATTTTTTAGTATAAACAAAATTAAAACAGAAGGTTTCGTCTCTTCTTATTTGACGCTTCTCCTTTGTGATCTTCCTCTTGTTAGACCCACTTCATTTGACGTCGATTTTCTTTCAATAATTAACATAAAAGTCTTCCTTTTATGCTAATTGACAGTTACAAACTAACTTATACCTACATTGCATTGCACTTTATTGTAGGCACATACATAAATCCTTTGTTATAATATTGTTCTTGATATAAACCACAGTTTATTTGTCTATCTGCGGTCTGCAAAACGTTTTTGCTTAGTAATGATGATTGAAAACATGCGACAAAAACTCATGGCATGCTTAGCCTCCGAAGTGAACGGTCGCTTCGTCTGTGTTAAACCTAAAATTATATAAAAAAATGTAGTTATTTAAGTTAACCACAAACTTTATAGTGTGATTTATATCCTGAATATTTATATGTATCTAAATATGAAAATATTTTATTATTTGAAGTTTATTGTAAACCTCAAAATGCATATTACATACATATTTTTTATAAATTAAGCTTATGTTTATTCCCATTGTCTGGTGAATACCACTGCGGAGGTACTTTACCTTAACTGTAGGTTAAATGGGTATTAAAATGTAATGAAACCTTTTGAACTGCTACACGTTTGAAAAGGTTGTAGCAGGAAAACATTAAAGAGTGGCGATGACCGCGCTTGGCGCTGACGTCAGCGATTCGAGGAAAACTCGGGTGTCGGGCCCACGCGTCGCGTGCGCATGTCTACCAAACAACACTCACGAAACAAATGAACGTAAATTGAACGCACATCATGTTACCATTGACTGGACGATGGAACATTACACTGGATATTGTTCTATACCTAATATTATCATTAAAACTCAAGACAAAGTTCGTGGAATTTGCTGCTACGATTTAACGCAGAGACCTTGAACAGTGGCATGTGTATTGGCTCAAGGCGACGCAGTGTACGTACTACAAGCGAACAAGACGACCTACAAATGATTTGCTTTAGTTCACTTGTTATGATCTGGAATACACTGGGGAATCTGTTTACTAATTAGAATAGAAAAACTGATAATGTAATGAGAATAGCTAGAGATGTTAGATGTTTCAATCTCTGTGCTGGCAACAAAACAGATTCATTCCAACATTTTAATGTACTAACGTTTATAATCAAAACAGTTTCGCAATTTTATGAAAATGTAAGCAAATGATTTACATCAAGAAGAAATAAACAAATGAAGCGTTGCTATTTTGCTAATGTTGACGTTTGGTCCGAGTGTAGAGCTATTATAAATGACCCATTTATCTAATCGTCTATAACTTTTGACATGAGTAATAAAATGACGTGGTTTTCAATTAATTAATGCACGATAATTCGTCTGTATTTATTTTGATCTTTAAATCTTTTATCTTTTGTTCAGAGTTTCACCTTCACCTTCATTTTTTTGGAAACACGTTTCTGTTGTTTGATTGAAAATAGTGTACTGATTGTTTTTCTGTTTAAATAGGAATTGAGCATCGAATTGTATCGCATTAATGGGCAGTGCGCAAACGTTGATTAGCAAGTCAATTAACACGGGTTCAGGTTGGGCAAGCACCTCACACCTCCGCAGTCTCAGATTTATTGTTTCTGTAAATGATTCCAAGATAGTCTACTTAGATAGTGTTGTGTACTTCCTTTTGTTCTAGTTAGTACTAAAAGGATTTTGTTTGAACTAAGATAGATAAATTCTCATTTACCTATTTACTATTAATTTATCAGAACTTTCAATTGAAATTCTGCAGACGATCTAGTCAATCATTTATGTACTCAAATACTATAATAACATTCAAATAACAACTTAATGAATTCAACATCGGATATTAAGCAAAACTTAACAGAGAAAACGTGTCAATTATTTTTAAAATTGTAACCTTTAATACCTATTACCTATATTAAAATTAGGCCTACTAATACTTTAAAACACACCTTTATTGTAACAGCAAAATACAAAAAGATGATTATTAAACTTGATCAAACAGTACAAACTGTTACTATAACCTTTACAAAAAAAAATGCTAGTGATAATGATACATAACCATTTGAATACACGCGAAGAAATTAATTCAAAAATTCAAATGAAAAACGTTATAGAAATGGTCCAATGCGATGTGGTATCGATATGAGAACATATTTATTTTGAACTATGACATCGACGGTTTTCGTGGAAAATGGGGCTGAAGTATTGGAAACATTTGTTTGCGTGACTACTAGTCAAGGACGGGCCCTTGAACTGTCCGGGAGTTGAACGACTCACACTGTTACGATCTCGCACGATCTAACGACAGGCACATGCTTTATGGTGGTAATGATTTGTACGGTGATTGATGCTCATTTAAATATTATCTGCATCGATCTAAAACTTTACATCATTATTATACTTTGTTTATGCATTCATTTTGGGTTTTTTAGTTTTGAGAAAATTGCCCTTTTTGCTACCAATATGTATGGCTTTTTCTCCCTGAATACAGAATTATAATAGTGTACAAATCCTATGTATATATTTGAGCCACTTAGTAGGGCGCAGTTAATAAAAGGGCACAACTTTGAACGATTCTTAGTGTTTACTAAGAATACTCTGCTAGCAAACAATAACCATTAAAAACAATATTTCTATGAAATTCAGGTGGATATTGACTGTTAAGGAAAAATGAAACTATTTTATCAATAGTACGTAGTATTTTGATTCGGCTGCTACAATTTCCCATGAATTTGATAAGAGCGGTGTGTAAGCTAGAGTGGGTGACGTCATGTTTATATCAGACCATCTTATGTAATGACCAATCGTGTGGTTATCAGACGGCTTGGTTCCTTCCGTACGATATTTACACACCATAACAATGAATAATGTGTCATAAGACTCGATCATTGAGCAAATGGGCCGTTAGAATGTTGCATTGCCGTCGGACAATAGCAAACTCCTGAGAAAGAATTTGTTACAGAGCAAAATGGCAAGTATAATTTAATAACATACACGTGTTACTCCGACTTTTTGATAACCGTAAAATTATATCATTTTTATTAATGTTGAATTATATCGTCAAAACATGCACCATCATCATCATCGAAATAAATAGTTTAATATTTTTTAGGTGCGGTATGTACTGCTTGTTATCGAGTCTCTAAAGTTCTCTGATTATGAGAAAAGATAATGTCATCCACAATACATATCATTTTATAATTATATTTATGATTCATACAAAGTTTTCGTAAACAAATACGGATTACTTCATAACATCTAACTTTAGAAACAATAACGATTACATTAGCTGATTGCAAGCACTCATTATCTTACGATTTATTAATTTTCGTGAACTAATTACGTTTATTTATAATAATTCGTAACTAGCTTTCCTTGTTATTGACTATATTGTGCGTAAATTTTGTTCGCAAATGCCGTTCTAAATATCTTCGAACAAATCGATTGGAACCTCGGATAAGTTACTTATTGCTTCAGCCAGCTGCAGCTAGCTGCATACACCAATCTCATTATTTCTGATGGACATAATAGTATTATATTATTTGCGAACCGATCTTCGATGCAAGCTTCCGACTTGTCAATAATTGCACACAACAGCTATTGTGCTACTTAATATCTATGTAATTGTAACAGTTCAAACGCAATACAGTGTTTTGTTTCAGTAGATGATTCATTAAAATGTGATTACTGGCTTTGTGGCGGCAATATTTTGTACCTAACACTTTATTTGCTTGCACTGCCTTCTATCTAAGGATAGAAAATGACCCACTTGACCATCTTCGTCCATCTATAACAACATTTGTTTTAGCTTGAACTACGGTGGGTACCGAAAATTTGACCGACATAATATTTCGCGCTACCCGATCTAAAAGAAAATGGAAATCCCTGATTTTTTAGTCATTGCGATGATGTTTTGATTCTTCTGCCAAGTAATACTCTTTAACTGCATGAAAATATTTACTTCACGTGTCATAGAAAAGCTATTCCTTGAATCATTGGAACATCGCTTCATTCAAAGAACCGTAAAAAAATGTATTTGGCTCGGTTAGCGAATTGTTGAAATGCTTGGAGATACGACGTTTTGGTTTCGAGGTGTCGTTTGCGCGTGCGCCGTGCGGCCGCTTCGTATCATACAAAACCGGCCACAAGCGCGCCAACTGACTCAGTCTGATATAAAACATTCTAGCTACGCGTACGTCTACAGTTTGTAGAAGCCTTCATATGACTCATACTCTTATCATATTGTGAATTGACGCGCCGTGAATTTCGCTAACTCTTTGCACTGTGAACTTTTAATTTATAACCCTTGGTGGATAGTTGATATAGTTTGGACAATTTAGTGGAAAGTGGTCTTCATGTCTCAGCTGGTACCATACCACCTCTACAGCAGCGAGCAAGACGATAGTCTGATGTTCGCTACCATGTTTGACTACCAGGCAGATGAATATAAGAAGCCAATGGTGAGTATTGCAGCCATCAACATTTTGTTAGTTTTTGCGTCCACGGAACCAAAGTTTTACGCGACACTTCGTGAAGTGACTTCGTAAACAACTTTCTCAACAGTTGGGGACAGTTAGTTGAGTGTGAATGGTGCAATATTTTTGGTTTTTGTCGTCAGTTTAAAACTTTTTGGTGTTGTATCCTTGTATGCGAATGACCTTGTGATTCTTTAATTAGCGTCGCCTAGCTCTCACTACTGGTATCTACTACTTACAACATTCTCGAAAGTTATTACATCCTAGTTAAAAGATTGTCCTTATAGACTTTTGATAATTTTACGTAGGTACTAATTTTTAAACAATATTGGGTACTGTTGTGACACCAATAATAGGGTTCCCTGTCACTTGTAAGTGTCTAGAACGCTATTGGTCCGTTGTCTGTGCGAAAAGGACGAAGATTAGATCAAACGAGGCTTGTATCACGTTTGCCAATATTTAAACTTTTACTCTTGTTTATTTCACTTTGAGTGTCTCTTTTAATTTGCATTTTTAATGTTATATTAACGAGATCTAATAGTCTAGAATATTCTAGAACTATTGCTATTTGGTGAACTATTAGCTGCTAATTAAATAGAAAAAATGAAATGTAAAGTATCAACGATAGACAATATTTACGCCATTGAGCTTCCAGGACTTGTTTGTCTGTCATTCCTGTTATTACAATAATTATTTCTATTATTAGACAATGACGTAACCTATCGGCGCTAACAGCAGTGTGGTCGTCCACAATAAAATTTATTGTAACATTTTTCATTTAAAGTTACTTCCAGTCTCTGAAAGTTCATTTGAGTTTCAATAGATGGCGCTGGCTATAGATTCGCGCGCTTTTATCAACAGATATAAAGAATATAATATACTGTGATAATACTGTAGGTGAAGATAACAATATCAATATGTTCGTCGCGTTTCCATCGACGCAGGAACAAAATAAATTGTAAATACGCCATAAAGATATTTTTACTATAAAGTCACGTGCATCAAATTTTTCACCGTTTCGTGCTAAGATTTTCACCTTATCACTGCGTGCTTGACGTCACATATGGTTCGACGGGGTGACGTCATGCGATGACGTCATTTTGCCCCACTGCGCAGTGCGCGAGTCTTGAGAAGTTCCACGAACTCGTATCGCTACCTGAACCATTATTATAATGTAACGACTGTACTCTTTTTACTTTATTATATGTATTGATCACTTTATAATCTAAAGGGCGATAGAGATTCGAACTACGTTCTCAAGTAGGTAGGTATAAAGTATTGCCTGTTAGTTTGAGGAAGTTTCAGTTTGGTTTTTACCCAAAATCTTCCTCGTAGGGGCTGTGGCTTTAAGACACTCACGTATACCAACGGTGCATGTAGGTACCTAAGCAAGTTTTTTAACCTCATTCCAGTTTCTACTAGTGACTCATCTAATTAAACAACAGTTCATAAGGAGGTAGTTATATAGGCATTTCATAATCTTGCGTGAGAAATCTTTCTCGAACAGCGTTTATGTTTTATTTCCCCATCCTCTAATATTCCAAATGTTTATTTAATATTCCCACATTTATATAAAAACAGGACAACTGAACGAAAATAATGTCCTTATCAAACGACGTCATAAGCTAGACTTGTTTACGTACAATAAGCATGAATGAAATCCTTGGATTTCCCCAACACTCATAACTTAATATTGTGTGCATCACCTTAAAGTTTCTTAGCTAGTAAGGTTTCATACCAATCGATAAATATCGTGCCTATATTATGAAGAGATGAACCTATAGCATGGCCATGTAATCTCTACTTAGCATTGCGTGAGATTACCCACGTAGGCGTGGCGTAGCGAAAGTGGGGATATCTCATCCCCTCCTCTTTCGGTGATAATTTCAAATCATTCCAAAGATCAAAATCCATAGGGATCCTTTTTGAATACCTACCATTAAATTCCGAATAAGTCGCCGAAACAACTGATCTTTTAGGATCTGATAACCAAGACTATCAGTTGCGCAAGCGCAACCGGATTTGTCGGGCGGCGGGGCGCAGGCGCAGCGGTGATGGTAACCTTTGCGAAGCGAAAACGTCAAGTCCGGCTGACTTGACCCACATCGCGCGCTTGTGAAATTTCTCCTGCGCCTGACTGCTTCCAAGAACACTGCTGTGGTTGGGGAATCCCTACACGCTAGAACGCAACACGCAACGATTTACCTGCCTTGCACAATTAAAATTACTATTACAGCATTGACCGTTACACTAATTACCATTCGGATCACTCGACCTTTAATCGATTACACATTTTGACGTAAGGCCTGATTTACTTAAAACAGCAGATGCATTGTCTATAGAAATGTAAACTGATTTCAAACGGCGATTGACCCCGTTGACTTTAGTCAGCAGATGTATTTTATTGACGGACACCTATTAGTGTTGTAGTCAATATGAGCCGGATGTCGACAATTTGTTTTAATTGTAATCAACTCGGAATCGGGTCTACTTGAATATTGTCAAGGAAAACGACTGTTTGTAATTTCTTGTGTGATCTTAAATAATGGAACCTAGTTCTTTGTAGAATGTATAGTAAATTATAAACAATATCGTAAGTATCGTGTAGCCACGGATTAGATAATCTTCATTATACAAACATACGCAGAGTTTTCCAAGAATATTGTGAATCATCGGAAGTAGGCAAGCCATATTTTTTAATACAGACATGACAAATACTTGTACGATTAGGTACTGGTTAGCGTCAAGTATGCCATAATTTACAAGTTTATTTTAAAGCTTTTAGTGTTTTGTCATCGAGTAACCGTTAAATTAGGCCAAATAATAATATTAAATTGTTTAACGCTTGGATATAACTCAGCCAGATGTGTGAATGAAAAGATAACTAAATAGTTTGATTAACAAATAGATTTGGCATGGTTCTACTTCCTTACATTATTGCAAATGGTTTGAAACTATTAATTACAACTACAAAACCATTTATTCGAATAACATTCTTAGCGTATGTATCACATTGATTATTTGTACTTCTTTTCTATTTTATGATCCCTTATGAAGTTTTTATGATCATTTATTGCAGTGTATAGTTGTTCTGATGCAATTCTATAATGTAGGTAAAAAATTGCACACCTGTGCGCACTGGCAAATGACGTCACCCATGAAGCATGCGGTCGTAGTGCCTGCCTATGTGAAACTTATTGTTTATGCTGCAACAATGTTAATAGAAAATTACCTAATTAGGAATTCTTTCTTTCTTTGTCTTTGTTTGGTCTACCACAATAACCACGTGTACTAAAGATTATCCTAAAACCTTTCATTTTCAACCGGTACCTGTTATTAGGCTGACTCCATTATGCCGTGTACAGACGAGACAATAAGATATTACGTAGTGATAGCTGTACCGGACAAAACGAGCTTTTATGCAGTTGCACAAGTAGCCACGTACAATAAAGTCCGAAGTCGACTTCTTTATTACCTTTAAGAGATAACACGCCTGCGTTATCCGCACTGACCCATTACATAAAGTGTTTTCCATTGTCTCCTGCCGTTCATTGCTTTCGAACTATGGCTTACAAATCTTACAAAGAGAACAATAATGGAAGGATAGGTAAAAGATTTAGGTGCATACTCATGCAGATATTTTGTGATCTTTGGGTACAAGAGTTGAAAGCAAAATTTTATTGTACCTAGTCATTTTTTAGGTAGCTCCTACAATATATTTTAAGGAGATAGTTGATAAGGAGTTCTTTTGTTTCCAATGCTTATTGCAATTCTGGACTTTTCATCTAAAATCAATACAATGACTTGCAAATATGGTGTAACCGTGAAATTATAACTCAAGGCAACTCAACAATAAAATGATGCAGATTTTATCGTGTTCGCCTATGATATTGGATTGTTCCCGCCAATCAAATCTAACATTTTATTAGTTTTAACTTGCCTATCTAAAACATTCTTAGATCTTTTTAACCTACCATCAAATTGTGTTTATTTATGTCCTTTTCTATTTTCTCACCAAATGCTTCTCGTCCAAACGATTAGCTATCTCGGTCACATTAAGTTGTTAGACCATGGTAGCTGTCAGCGCGGTGCTAAGTCATGCGGTCCGGTCTTGTCGCACCATAACCAACCACCCACGTTGTACAATGTCATGTTGACGTTTATCCATATCAAAAGCATCGTAAAGTTCAGTATTTGTCTGCAATTGAAATGTATATTTGTCACCTCAAACAGTTTTCAATGGGTTTTGTCTATTGAGCTTGAATTATTTGAAAGTGATATAAGGAAATACAAAGTACAAAATTTTCTTGCAAGGTCGTAAAACTATATGTTTGGGAAAAGAATATATCCGACATGTTTCGACAACCTAATTATCAACATAAATATCGAACAAATTTTAAAATTCCCGGGAACAAGTCATAAAAAATTACATAATGGATGTTTCGATGAAAAAATTGAAAACGACACTTCCCACACAGAACTGCATATTTCGTGAGAAAGTAAAGCAAATGTCATACAAGGTCACAGGTAGATCTTAAGCGGACAATTTGCTGTTATTTTAATATAATTCAAAGTCTACCGTGACCTCAGATGTAGTCAAATGAGTTCGGAGAATCCAACTACACGAAATTGCCGCGAAACAGGAAAACGTTTTTGTCTTTAACAATTATTATAGAGCAAATATGTAGATATGTGTTAATAAAGTTAGAACTGTTATAATCCGTTCGATATTAAAATTTCCTGTTTGTTTAAGCACCAACTTTATTATAGAATGTGATGATATTAAACAAAGCCCATGTTTATTCTAAGTCCTTATTCAGAAACTTGCTCGTTTGATATGTATTCACATACTTTTCATTGTATAATAAATCACTTGGAGGAGAATTATATTGCATTCTAACAACAATTTCCTAATAGAGGAATTATTATCGAAACTTGATGAGAATTTATTGTAGTCCTAAAAAATGACACTTAATAAAGCCTTA